TCACGTACGATGCCCGCCACGCTGATATTTCGACCAGATATGTTTTTATTGCTTGTTGACTCGACGTTAACACAGCCTCACATTTCTCAGATCAGTGGTAGGTACCAATACGCTTATGATGAGAAGTTAAAATTTGATTCGATATCGCGAGGGGCTTTTAGAGGTATAAATAGCTACCTATGTATTTGATACTTTGAATGTTTGTGTTCTTTTTGCTTTTATATTGAATGGCCTGTATAGACACTCTATTTTATTTCACGGCATCTTTGAATATAAATGGTATAAATCACTTACTTACTATAGGAACAATAACTTATCATACTAATTTGACAGAAGATCTTTTTATAGTTTAATAAATTGTAATTCTAAAAGGCAGAAATAAAATTTTTAAATGATATTAAAGTTATAGAATTAATTACAGTACCAAGAATTAAAAAAAAGATTTCGTTCATGTCACCGGAGTGAGGTTACAATTAAAAAAAGAAAGGTCAAAAGTTATCTTATTACATATTTATGATGCACACAAACTACTCCTAACTCCTCTCTTTTGAAGTTGGCAGACAATATTGCTTTAAAGTCAACGAAGTTATTTTTCTTTTAAAGTTACGGTAGTGACTCGATCGGACTTCTCCAGTAACTATAACGAGATTTGAATTATTACTATCGTGAAAGTTCAGTCAGAGTTTGTGAAAATGGGTCAATAGAAATTATATCTGCAAACATTTTTTTATAAAAAGTAGTTTTTATACAGTAATTGAATTATATTGTAATATATTTAATTATGATTATTATTACGTAAATAAGTAGTTAATTAAAATAAAAAACATGGAGGTAGATATGTGCGTGTCATATGAAACTGATTAAGTCCACTAATCACAAATACATTAAGATTATTTATAATATTACACAGGTATACTGTTAACAAATCGAAATTTATTACGTAGTTTTTGAAAATATCGCGCATAGACAAACGCTCCAAGGCCTTTGTTTTATAATGTGTCTACCTTTTATTAAAGAGATGGATGGGCAGTGTAAAATTAGATGACGAGATAGTGAATATTGAAACGATTATGAACCGATATCTGTGAAGTGATAAAGGAAATACAAAGACATATTATCTATAGCGATCCCAAATGATATTAACTAAGAGAAGGAGGTGATAATGTAACTGAAAAAATAAATTAAATAGATGAAATGTCTAGTGTTGTTAGATAGATAATATAACATTATTTACAGTAGACCTTACACGTGTTAGATACAAAAGCTCACCTCATATTCAGGAGGCAAATCATAATTCTTAATAATTTACAAATTACAAATAACATCACAAATACAGAAGATTAAATGTTAAGACAATTTTCGCAAAGCGTAATACCATTTTTTTTTGAGCCATTGGTGTAGTTCTCTTTTAAATCTATTTAATGGCGTCTCTTGATTTACTTGCTAATCTAGTCTCGAGTTAAATTATTGGGCGCACCCAATGATATACGTAAAATATTTACCTAAATGAACAAATGTACATAAGTAACTAATACAATGAATCAGTTATTTGAACAGTCGTGTAGTTGGGGCTTATGCCCTGAACCGTTGTCCTGGTTAATACACGAACGTCATTAATAAACAAGAGCCAAAAGAGATGACTTGCTGTTGTATCTGCTATGTAGCGGTACATGATCATGAGGTCGCACATAAGACAATAAGGTGTCAGTGGGCCAGCCATCTAAACGATCACTCATCGCTAAGAAAGCTAACTGTAACTGACGGTCGATTCCATACACTAAACATTTGACAGATTAGATGGCTAAAAAATAGATTAAAGAATTCGTTGAACCGAATAAACGTGAATCGTATGTACTTTTAATTTTAAATATGAACAATATGTTGCGTCTAAAATTGTAATTAGAAAAATACCTTAAAATTAGGTCAATTGTTTCCTGAAACAAATCTTCAGATACAGTAGCGTTATATTTTCTTATGAAAAATGGGGAATTTGTATGAATTTTTTGGTTAGTTAATCAAGTTTAAGTGATTCTTGGATTATAAAAATAGTGTTATTAATAGTTTATTAGATGAGATGTCAAGAAATATCATGTGAAATATATATAGAGATACTTGTTGCTCTACCTATGTCTATTGTAATATACCATATTAAGTACTTGTGAAGTTTTAAATAGATACTATTATTTCGTTCTGTAACATAGTTACTATTTATTTTTATGTAGGAAGTAAATACTGTGTCATAGATTGTGTTGTTCGCTTAAAAATATGTCCTCAGTGATCAGCCATCAATTTATCAGTAACTGTCTTGTGTCACGTGTCCTTACATTTCCAAGATAAAAAATGTAAGTAAGATATATATATATATTAGAGATTTATATTATTATTAATATATATATATATATATATATATTTAGAGATTTATAGATGTTCTTTAAAGTAATTTAAACGGCTTGGCATGGCAGCAATTATTGTATTGGTTTATTAATACCTACCTATTTTTGGTAATAAACAGCCATTATATTTTATCAGTTAAGTAGTTTTTGAGTTTACTATATTACAAAATTTAAAAAAAAAAGACAAATTAAATCTTTTGTTTTTATAATGTGAAATATATCCGAAAAAAAATTTTTTTTTAATCATGTGAATTTCGCAAAAGTCGCATAAAATTGTATATAAAATGTACAGTGGACTTCAGTAGTCTGTTTAGAGTCGGTTGATAAAAATTAATGACTAAAGTTCCGAAGCTCCAATTTGTTTGGATAATCTAAAAATCCTTTTTAAACGAGAGTAAAATTCGTTATCAATGAATATACAAGTATCTACATATTAATTTCCAGTATAACGTTTATACTTAATCCTTGTAGCTTAATACTTTGAGAGCTTCTACGTGAACAATGGGATGTTTGTGGCACGCAGAGTTTAATTGTGTAGGAGTTGAAGGACGGAGGGTAGATGTCCGGTTACTGCCGCGGATAGTAGTAATGAACACTTTATATAAAAAAAACGATTGTCAAGTAAACAATTTTTAGTAACGGATAATCAATTAAGAAAGGGGATCACTTACTGAATAGAATAGTTTTCTGTAATTTCGATTATACTCGTATGTATATATATTGTTTAACTTTTTTAGACCGCCTTGTGTTTATGTCACTTTCAAGAAAACTCACATTCACATCTGTCAAAAATTATTTAATTAATGAATTTATTGAAGTACTGTTGCAATTTGATGGCCTCGCGCTTTAGGACGCCACCTTATCCGGCCTGTGTCTCTTTCTATTACTACTTAAATATTTTTTGTAAGTACTTACTTACAAAAAATATTTAAGTATTCCTTCAGTTGTTAGTACCTTTAACACAAGCTATATATAGCTTAGGACTAGATACACCTGTGTAAACTGTTATTGTATTAAAATAGTAATTGACTAAAGAGAAAATCGATTAATACGATTTTTTCTTTAATCGATTAATTTTTTACATCCCTAATGGGTGGTACTCGGACGGGTGACTCGGGTGCGGACTGCGGTGTGTCCCGTAGACTGCAAGTCTGTCATATAGGGTTGAACTCACAAGTGGCGAATATATACCCGCACTATATACATCTTGCTGTCCAACAGACAACAACAATTCACACGACCATTTGTCATTCCAACTATTATATTTTTTGTTTTATTATATTGCGACATTGTTTTGGTGTGAGTGACATGGCAACGTTTTATTATCACTTTAATACATCACTATTATTGTGTCATCGTAATACAGTAGTGCCGAAGAAAATTAGTATTTGAAGAAAGTATCAATATAAAAGGATAGGTTTCGTTAGGTCGGGCATTTCTACAGATTTTGAATAATTATAGTTATTTGAGAAATTATAGTTATCAGTCAATTTAAGTTGACCCGGCTGTGTTTTGATACGTGCTTAAAGTAGTTGTTCATTTGTCAGTTGCTCATTTTCTGTAGGTTATGAAACTGCAGTTGACGTTTATAGATTAAAGCGTATTGTGATTTTTTATAACATTCTTGTACGTGTCGTAGTTGCTTGTAGCACGAAATATGTCTCAGTTGATATGAATAAAAGTTTTAGCTATGTAGATTGTTTATGTATAATATTTAATTTTGTAATTTGGCTTAATCGCTAGTAACATACATTTAATATTCCTGACGTAGATAATTAAATATAGGAATACTGCACAATAGGACTTCAATTTGATTTAAGTTGTAAAATCAAAAGGTAAATTTTGAGATAACAAGAGATCCAAAAAGGTAACTACTGGATTTTAATATCCAGCTTAGAATTGAAAGGAATAAAAACTAAAATTTATGTAGCTTTTATATTTGAATATCAACAATAGTTTAGGTTTGATTATAATTGTATTATTTATTATTAATGCAAAGTTGCTATTTTAATCGCCCCCTGGTCCTCGTGACACCGATTGTGTTGACTGCATTTTAAACATGCATATTATGCTTCATTGTTCCTATTACAACACGATAGGGTCTAATTGCTGTAATATTAATTATGTACAAACCTACAAATCTACCTGCAAACCTCCTAGTAATATCGCGCATGCAACATAATGCAACAGCTGCAATCAATTACAGTATCCGTCCTACAAAAAAAATGGCATTTATGTACATAATAATCCTGTAGTAAAAAATATCCGTTTACCCGTAACCTATAAATATTTTAGTATATAATTAAAATGAAAAGATTTTGTAACGCATACTACTTAATTAGTAATTACAAATCTATGGCGTAATATTATTAGGCGTATTTTTCAATGTTAACTAGATGCAAAGAATATTTAATACGTTTGTGTGTTTGTTTTGTAATGTTTTATAAGTTACTTTTTAATATCATAGTATCCTTGTTATGAAGTTAAAAATATGAGTACTAGATCTTTTTGTCCATTGATCGATGACGTAAAAACAAGGTAATAATATAAATTTATTGATATTATTATTGTTGAAGTTATTTAAGAAAGTAATAAAACAATGTGAACTCTACTTTTATCTTATAATAACGTCTATAATTATGGGTGTAATTTCTATATCTAGATCCACTTTTGTATATCTATAATTGGTGCGTATATTCATTCTGACAGTCGTTGCCTTCAAGCCTTATGAATGACGGCATAACTTGAGTGTTCGAACACAGCCACGACATATAAATTATATAATAACTAAAAATAGTCCATAAACGACGCACACACATCATGCACGGGATATGCGCTCGAGGCGCGCTGGGACCCACTGTGAGCAGCGTCTGCGCAGCCTTGACATTTGGTGGAAGCGCTCGGCATGGAGCATCGGTCACTCCGCGGATATTAGCCCCATCTGCGGAAGCGGTCGAAACGTGGTACCGGGAGGTATGGATACCGGGCTGGTACCCTGACATTCTCTAAATTATATCCTCGCCGCCGCCGTACAAGCTGATGTTCATTTTCTATATGTTTCTTTTCAGGTTGTAAGATTGTTACAACATTGGATTCTAAAATGACATTATCACTTGCTACCAGCTCGTCCGGTCTCAGTCTGGTTATGAGCTTTCCTCTATTCTTTTGTGCCGATAGGTATTCCTCGCTGAGTACGTAATCTTGGAGTTTTGGTACTTGGTTGTATTTAGTGGAGTCTATTTCTCTTTCGTAGCCGAGACGGTCGCGAGATGTGGCGAGCGCGGGCGCAGCCAGCGCGAGTGCGAGCGCGAGATACGCGTGCATACTGCCGTGTGTGCTGAGTGTTTGAGCCGCGCGGGCCCAACACACATTTTATATATACTACTGATCGATACCATTCGTTCCCAAAACGAGTACACTTTTTTGTATAATCATATGTTCGACGCGAGACGGTCTGGATTTTAAAAGTATACCTATTGTATTATGCAGAAGGTAGACACCGGTGGGTGATGAGTCTTAACGGTGTCTTGAGTTTGATTCGCGCTAGTTATATATTAAGCTGCAATTATTCTTATAATTTGATGCACAGGCGGGTACGAATACGAACGCTCATGAACCTTGTTCCACTTACATTAGGCGATATTACCCACGATATTCTCGACGGCACAAGGTGACCATCGTACCGTTGCTGGGGCTTGCGGCCACTTATCCATAACCTATCACACCATATGCCTAATGACGTTAAGTACGGGATAATAGGTGAAATTTAATATTTACGATTTCTTTAAATTACTGTGACAATCTCTACCTAAAGTACAAACTAGAATCTAAATAACCAAATTATCCATATATCTGTATCTAAGTACTTATCTACCTGTGTTGTTATAGTTCAGAAAGTATATTAAAAGGTTCAATATGCAGAGTTGAAGGTTTCAGTTCAATTTACGTGCAATGCAGTTAACTGTTTTGAATTGCTCGTTTATAGACATAGAACACGATTCTTCAAGGATAATATTTATACAGAAAAACAATTTAATGTGGGAATGTATGTATAAGTATATAATATAATATCATTATGCGAAGAGTGAATATGAATTAACGACGTTTTACTTCTTTTTTTCGACACACATATATTTTACAATGTCACTATAAATTCTTGTTTATGAAATCAGTTTTGTATAATTTTATACATTTATTAAACTTTGTTTTAAAATGTGCTTAATGGATTTGACACTATTATTTTTAAACATATGGAAACTAAAGTAATATAGACTTACATGTACTGTAATGTAAATACTTTAAAAATTTTATCTCACTTTTGAAAATAATGATTAATATTTTAGACCACAAAAACTACTACACTAAAAAGGAACAAATACAATGCATCTCCTGATATAACGTGATTATTTCCAAATAGAAAGCTGAAACATGTCTTGTTAATCCGGAATTGAAAATGCGAGGTCATCTCCAAAATACAAATAGAAAACCAGAATACAGGAAGCGAAGTACCTACCTACCTAAGCTGCCGACCTTCCGAAATCATTCTTGCTCTGATGATTACATTCCTAAATACTATTCTTACAATACGATACATAGTTTGTAGTCATTATATGTTGAAATGAGTCCAATAAATTAATGACCAATTTTAATTAACAAAATAGTAAATACCTACTAGATGACCCCCGAATTCGATGCCGTAGTATTTATATAATAATAATAGTTTATAAAGTTTTTATTTGTGACTGTGATTGAAACAAAACACTAAATATTACGGAAACCTTACAAGAATACATCAGTGAAAACAGTATTTAAATCGGTTAAGTCGTTTCAAGAATTGTTTGCACAAACGCACACATTAATAAAACTTCATACGTTTATGTACGTTTTAAATCATAAACGATTAATGTACGTATATTAATAGTTTATGATTTTTTATAGGAATAATTACTTAGGTTAAATATTGGAAATTATACTTGAATTTGTGCCAAATTATTTTTTGACTAATTCGCATAATAATTATATTATAAATAGACGTAGCTCTAAGTTCGTATAGGTGGTTATGACTTGCTTTGTTATTTTTTATAAATCTATATATTGTGAGTTTGTGCTCTTACTTAGTCGGTTTAAAAAGGTAATACCTATTAATAAATTATCAGGTTTTGGTTGTAGAAACGTCATCGCGGAAACGAGCTCAAAGTAAACGGAAGTCGGACACTTGTGTCGAATGTATATACTTATACCAGTACGAGTATATCGACGAGCTTTAGCTATCCAAGGTGAAGAGCAATGTTTGAGTCCACTCCTATTCGAATTTCATTAGCGCCGATCGAAAATATTTGCACCAAATCTAAAGGTATTTGATTTGTGAATCTCGATTCGCCGATACCGACGAGTAATTACTTCTTTTGGAACGATCAATTGAAATGGAGTCAAGATTATGCAAATTGAATTCGATAAGCGCTTGTGGAATTTGTAAAAGTAATTTTTCATGCTATATCACTCTGCGGGATTCATGATATTATGACGTAAATAAGAGAAAATACTGTGTGTGTGTGTAATAATTATATTTATAATTGATTGATTGTAGTGCAGTGAAATTAAAAGTTAACACTCTAATTATCCCACAAATTATTTTATTTTTGGTTGTTATACTTATTTATACATAGGGGTATTAGAATATATAAATATAGTATGTTGGACTCCAGTCTCCGCAATTAGCCTCTCATTCGGACCGTTGTGCGTGCAGAGCTAGACTACTAAAGTAGCCAGCCAAGCTCCTCCTAAAAGCGCAGAAGTCTCCTGGTGTCTTCACAGGCTTCACAGAGCGGCCTCACCGTTCCGAAAATTTGTTTTCTTTGTAGGGCCACTGCCGCGCTCCAGGATTACGTGAGCCGCCGTTTCTTCAGCTTCAAAGCAGCCCCGACTAAGGGGACTGTCTGTAGCATCAATTGTGTATATGTGTTTGTTTAAGGAACAATGGCCCGTTATTGTCCCTATTATTATTTTAAGGTTATATCTAGATTAAGTAGACGTTTTGTTAATCGATGGTTTGTTTTTGGAATTGCCACTTTTATTTGTTTGCAATCAGTGGTTAGGTTCCATCTTTGGTTTTGTATCTCGGTGGATCTCTGGCGAATCCAGGTGCGAAATTGCGAAAAGGGTATTGGCATAAGCGGGGTATTGGCCTGCAACCACCATGCCAGATCCTATTATATAAATATAGTATATGGACAGCGCGCGAAAATGTAGATCAACTTGCATGACATAATGATCATATAAGACAAAAGAAAACAATGTTTATATTTTATATTCCATATTTCAACAAAATGAATATACTTTTATCAATAACTTTCTAAAAAAATTAGTAGCTGTGGTAATTAAAAATATTTTGCAATATCTACTTATTGCCACTATAGAAACCTATATATTTTGCAGTTTTGTCTACTAAATAAAATAATAAAGATAAAATACTGGTAATATTCAACATTTATTGGTGTTAAGTAGTTATGCTGTCTGATAATGTAGTAGTCCGTAAGGCGCCCGCAAATCTTAATAATTATATTAATCCAATTAAATCACAATTACGTTCTGTTACAAACCCTTACATTATTCTGCGTAATATATTTAGTTCCTTAAACATAACAATTTTCTTCACAATGCGTACTTACTATTTACCGAATGACACTTTGTCAAGGACTCATATACAATGCGAGAAGCATCGCTTCCGCGTTTTTGTTTCTTGCCGCGTTAATCACAGTATCGTCGTTAGAATATTAATAATCGTTGGTCGAATTCGCTAGGTAATCGATAGAGTTTATTTGTATCCTAAACAAGTTTTTGTGCATGATTTTTTTCATAAACAAAGTTAGCGTTCGACATATTCTAAAATATTTTTTATTTGAGTTCAACATGTACATGGTTTTTATTTCTTTTTATTGGGGGTTTTGGACTATTGTAAGGTATTAAGACCTGTGCAGATCTGAACTGCGACCTACAAAGATCTATTGTGCTCGCCCTTTTTCAAAATAGAGTATGTTATATATTACCAAAGAAGATATTTCGTTCATGCATGAGTGCGCCACAACCACATGGGATATGTAGTGGCGGTTAGATTGAGGCCTAATTTTGCCAGGTGTTTATTCAATGTACTCGTTCATACTATGTTTCATATTTAGTTAGGTTATAACCAAAAAGTGTTTATCGATCACTGTTATGGTATAAAAATGTACATGAATTTTGAAAATTTGTATATGAACGACGTAGAAGAAAACTCTACAATTTTGAAAAGAGAAATATAAACCTATTCCGCTTGGCAGAGACATTGCTTAACACGCATAGGAAGAAATACTCGAAATTGAAAATTACATTTGTTACCAACATTATCTGTTTATGTATACAGTTTTATATTTTAAAAGTAAATAATTAAGTTTCACAGGTTTAGAAATTTTAAAAACCTCATGACATAAATAATATATGAAGCAATTAATTAAATTATTTATCAATAATGTCTAAAGACAAAATAAAATTCTATAAAATATATGGCAAATAAATCATCATTATCAATAGCAACAATAGCAACAGTATTAAACTCCTTTCCATTGGCTTTTCTCATGAAATAGCTGGTTAGAGCTGTACTTTTTTGATTCTACTCAGGTTTGCTTTCTGATCTATTTGTGAGTAACCACCATCACAATAGTTAGGAGTAAAATAGAAAAGTTAATGTCGGGGACTGTGAATAAAAGAAAAGTTGCGTAAATATTTTACGCAACTTTTTCTTTTATTTCGATCAGGCTTATATTTGTGCCAGTCGTCTCGACACCAGTGTATTAAATGTGGTTACTAATTTTATATGAGTACTTAATCCGTTAACTTTATAGGTTAAAAAAACAATAATGTCGGTCCCGATATTATTTAGCGAAGGCTGTGGCGAAGGTATCGCCATACACACAAAAAATATAATACGAACCTTAGGAGTTGGTTGAGAACAAAATTTGATGGCTATGTATATGTGGTCGGTCACATTGCTAGATAATTGATTTAGTGTTGTGAGCGTGGGGACGTGTAGGTAGAGTTCGTCGGCTTTGTTTGACGCGGCGGGTTCGGTGTTGCGTCCTCGGTAGCCAGCGGTCATTGCTTCCTGATCACCGGTGTTCATCTCGCTCGCATCACAAACTGACGCTCTCGATGCGTTTGCGCAATGCATTATTCAAGTCGCCATGATATGATAATGTTTCCCAAAAAACACCGTCTCACTAATATGTGTAGCATAATATAATTTTTATTTGTAAAATAACAATGCTATTTGATATCTCGATATGCATTTATCAGAATACTAAATAAATTTTATGTCAATAATAGTATGTCCTAACCATAAGATACTATTAATAAAATCCTTCTAAAGTATTTTCGATTATAAAGTAATTGCGGAAATAGCTTCTCTGCCGAATATATTACACAATCTCCCAACACTTATATTTTTAAACTGATTAAGAATATGTGTATAGAATTTAAATTTTGTCCATAGATGCCATGGGACTCATCTGAGGAGCAAATGGGAGCACCTCGTGAGATGCGCATCCACGTACAACGGGTAATCGCTATCCCTGGACCTCAGAACATGCCACCTCAGCCTGAATCGCTGCCTCGTTTTATGCCACCCAATATGCCTCCTCAGCCTGAGGCAGTTAACCGATTCGTATCGCCACCAGCAATGCCCCAAGGTCCTGAACAGAATGAGGTAAAACATTACCTTATGTATAAAAGTCTCGTATCATAATGTTAGTTACCATACTCCTCCGAAATGTCTTGACCGATATTGATGAAATTTTATATGCATATTCGATAGTAGGTCTGAGAATCGGCTACTATCTATTTTTCATACTACTAAGTGATTTTTTGGGGTTGTCCACTCCTAAAATTTTTTTGATATTTTTTGGATAAACAATTTATTTTTGGTTTTTTATAATGTGATATTAAATACATTCAACCCTAAATTTTCAGCCTTCTATCACCAACCTTTATTTTTTAATATCGATTTTAATTTAAATGGCTAAACAACGTTTGTAGGGTAAGCTAATATTTAAATAAATAGATATCGCTTTCACATACATATATGCAAAAGTGGTTTCTCCTGTGCTTGTGTAGTAGTGCATATTGATTATAAATCATTTTAATATTCTTGTTTATGTGTTTATCTTGTTGTGGTTCAACACATTAAATTCTAAATATTTTTAAGTGTTAAGTCTGTCTTTATTATAAGTGCATCAAATTTAAATAAATGTTAATGATTGTAATTCTAGATATGGTATATGCTGATGATGGTCTATACTCGTATATTGAGGTTGTATCAACTTGCTAACATTTCCTTGTCCATATAATTATCACTACATTTATAAGATTATCATAATCATTTCATGTTTAATACAGAAATATTGATTTTTAATCAATCATTTGATGTATTATGTTTATACATTTGATACAGAAATATTCAAATAAACAGGAATATGCCATAATTAACACATTATGAAAATTTCTACTAATTAACTGTAAATTCTGTTTCTTGTGTTCATTATGTTAAAAGTAGATAGAAAATTATATATTTAGAGTTTACTCTAAATATATAATTGTTAAAGCTGAATTTTCGATCATAGAGATAAATCCTATATAATCTTTATTTTTAAAGAATAAAAACAAAATAACATTAAAAGTATTCGTTGAACCTTTAAAATTAAATAAATACTGCGAGCACTATACCGTCTCTATGTTAATAAGTTAGAAATACATAATTATAGATTGTGTAATTGTATTTAATAAACAAATACTAATACTTTGTCGTACTTTTTACGCATCACTAAAATTAGGTATATGTGTAAAAGTAGCCTTATAAAACATTCCGTTACTTCGTAATTTACAATCTAATAAAACGTATGGAAGACGTTTGTTACACGGAAATACGTATAACGACACATCTTAATAGACCTGATTGAATTGTATATATTTATATATATATATATACTTGTATATGTATGAACTTATCACGATCTGAGTCATTGATAAACATTGGCTGTATTTACATAATCATCGATATTAGTAGGTATTATTGATTTACACGATGTACTAACATCAAATTTGTATAGCGAGCAACGGGGAAAAAATTGATTACGTGCATTCCGTATATTATATTGAATTTTAAAACACGATATTATTTCTATTGCATAATTAATTATAATGTTATTGATATCTAATAGTAGTTTATTTAGAAGTATTGCATATTCAAAAAAATATAATTCATTTCTCGAATCCTCCTGATTTAATTGTTTACTATCCCGAGTTAATAATCTTTAGGTTTGTTTTTAAAGGATTACAATATGAAAAAATTAGAATATGAGTGGCATAAGAACTGCTTTAATTTATGTATTCTAATTATACTTCCGCTAATGGAGGCATTGATAATAAGCTATCTATATATTTGTTGACAAAGGTTTTCCTGGCGTTGATTATTTATGAGTTTAGTCACTGTCGAAGACTTTTTTTAGATCAAGATCTTAAATTGTTATTGAGATTACACAATGCCTAGTTAAATGTTATCTATATTTCCTACAGCACCGTCACATTTTACTTCTAATTATGATCCCAGCTAGGACCACAGCTGTAAAGATAGAATGTGTAAAAAAGAAATGTTAAACTCTTTTTGTGTATTTATTTGTGATATTGATATTGATGTACATTGATTTCATGAAACGTCTGCCGTGATGAATAAATATGTTTAATCAAAATTTAAGTATGCTTCGTTGATTTATTAATTTAATATATAAATGAAGTAAATTAATTGGAGCGAATAAATTTTATATTAATTAGACTATTAATAGAAATTTCTGAAGTTTCTGTTTATATGTAACTACACATTTTGCCTCTTTAATTCATTCTTTTTGTTCTAAATATATTTCTTTATTTAGTCAACTTTCAACAAGATAATTCATTTTCAATTTTGTAATTGCAAGTCCACTCTTAAGTTTAATGCTATGTTTTTAAGCTAACATAGTGTCATCATGACTCAGTAATTCTACGTTTTCGGATAAAAAGTGTTTGCTAAAAGAACAACATAAGACATGTCCATCGCGGGGCCACCGAAGCGTTGTGCTGCGGAGGTTAAAGAACCCTTCGACAATTGTTGGTATGCGAACACGGTACATTCATCACATCTTCAACGCTATAAATTTAGTATATGCAATATTTACAAACCAAGTTTGTGATTATTTTATTTAGCACTTTTACACATTTAACACCGAAACGACATTGCTCTCAGTGAAAAACCGATATTTATACGTAAATTTATCTCTACGATATCAATTTTCGATACTAGGTTTCTAGACATAAAAATGGTAGCGATTATTGTGACTTTGTATAATATATAACATACAAGTAGGAATTAATGTACCAATGCAAAAACGTAGGATTTTAATACAATTATTTGTTTTTTTTGTTCAAAGTCCCTACAAAGGTTATTATAAAATAATATGAAAGAAAGAAGAGCGTTAGCCAATTTAAAAATGAGATATTGAGTTCCTGGCAAAGTCTAAGACAAAAATTTTAATATTAGACATTACATTATTTGACTGACTTATACATATATATTCCGAAAGTCTATAGGTACTATTAAGGATTTTTTAACCAACTAAAACATACACTGACTACCATACTGAAATTATTTATATGAGTCTAACACTGGAGTAAACCACATAATTGAAAAACATAATTATGTAAAGCAACATGAATATATAAATAAATCAAAATAAATAAACATCGAAAACTTATTAGTTAGTGCTATTAAAATTTATTATTAGATATATAGATGCATTTAGAATTTTAGAATTTCTCCTCCTTTTCGCAGGCAGTTAAAAATAATGAATGCCTTTAAAAATGATTGTTTTCGTTTAGCATCACGTTTTCATGTTTTGAATTCCACAGCAGCCCACAGTTCTCCACCAATTCGTGCCCCAGACCGCGCCTACACAGGAATTGGAACAACCGGAAGTAAGTAATTAATTATATGTATACAAATAAGTTCTATAGATTTCGTTTAAAACATATATAATTTATTTTTTCACCTATGGCATTATTAACAACTTAGATGCCAACACATTGCCTTATTTTTTAATTAATGGGGCTTTGGTTCCTGCAATAGATTCTTTTCTATATTTAGTTATTTAGAATAGATATAAAAGAACGTACCTGTCAATTGATGTTAAGTGATTACCGCCCTCCATAAGCACCGTTATGGTAATTAAATACTTGGACAATTGTAGGTGTATTTTCTATTTTGGTTAATTAAGTAGATATATATGGTATATTTTCTACTGGAACAATAACAAATGACGACCACACGTTGTTAGTGGTAGGAAGTTTCAGAAATGTCTGATTTAGCCATATTGATATTTTAAATTGACGTAATATAATTGAATTCAGTAAGTGTCATCAATCATCATATGTTCAGTATACCTACTCTCCACTCCCCGTCCCCGTCACATACAGATAGAAGAAGCAAAGATTTCCGTGTATACTTTTCAGGTAATCCAATAGAATGTGTTATTCATATCAGAAATCTTTATTATAATACCAATACATATAACGTTACATACGTTATTATGTTTTACGGGTTGGTAAATGTAAGAATAGTATAGTAGTTCATTTGTTCTTCGCAATACCGTGAAGTAGCATAATTGTTATGAAAATATTGTAATGACAACAAAAACAATATTATTGAACATTGCTGTAACGTAGGTAGGTACATTAGCTACAAGGTCAACTGTCAGACATCATCAGTTAAGTAAGAATATTTTTTGTCTTGTTCAGTAAATGTAATGGCTCTGTATAAACGACTAGCTACGGCTTTCCGTATTTAATAATATCTGACATATAAAAATATACGCACAAGTGTAAAGACTGTCCATTACTGGCATACATAAGTGTCATCATTTATAAATAATATGACAAAACTATGTAATGAAGTGTTGGTGTTACGAACTAAAGTAATATACTTATTAATGTAATTTGCTTTTATATGTACAACCCGAATTTATCATATGTTCAGAAAGTATAGTAGAATTGAAAGCCAACTTAAAAACTATAATAAATAACTACTGATTGTTTATTAACTACATATCTAATACTAGATATTATCCCTAAGAAATCTGTTAAAATAATCTTATATTTTACATTTTCCCTACTTGTACAAATCAACCACTTTCATATAATATCCTACTTAAGCTGGTGAGTGAGTGAGTATACTTAGAAATTTTAAGCCCCAGTACAAATTCTCTTTTGAAATTTTAAACGGTCTATTGTACGTCCTAGATTTTTTCGAGTTACAACTTTTTCGTAATATATTATTTTTGTGTTACTAAGTATTTAAAAATATTAGTTATCTTCGTTAGTTAGTTTTTAATGAGTGCAGGTCAGATATAAGTAAGATTATTTTTCAGGAAAACTTAAAATTTACTGTGTAAATGATATTGTACAACGTATTTACCTATTAAATTGTGCTTTTATATATGCAAATAGTTACATTTATAGCGCTTCTTTTCCTTATTGTTCAACAGAAACCACATCAATTTACCAATAGGTACCTTTCAATGGTATTTCATGATATAACCATGTAAACATCAATGTTTTGATTTTTCAATACTCACAAACAGGTACATTGTTCGTTGTACTCTCTACATCAAATGTCAATATATGAAATATCAATAATTTGTATAACATGCGCATGGTTATGATATTATCTATTATCAATTGATTCCGAATTTATTGAGTCCTATTATTATGTAGTAAAACATTGACATACGTTCTTATAGTAAAAATATATTTTTATTGTCATCGCAGATGAAGAAGGTCTCGCTTGAAGGTACTCCGATGCAGATGCCGTGGAGCTTGAGTCCTCAAGAGCTCTTTGCAATCAGACAGAACGTAGAAGATACCGCTGCTACACAGCATCGCGACCAACAGATAGATAATGACATGCAAGAGGTATTTACATTATATGAATACGACTTTAGTAGTAATTATGTTAAGCTGTAGAAGTGTTAAATAGTATATGATTTTACTTAAAACCGTAACAAACATACATTCACCCCCTATTTTTATTCTATCCATGTTATGTAGGCCATATATTATATGATCTATAGATTAAATGATTTCTATACTGCAATATTTTGTTTTTAGTAATAATTCACAAGTAAATATAAAAATTATAATAAGTATGTCCCTGTGATATCACATTTTTATTTGTAGATATAATTATTTTTTTATTTGTCTCTATTCTTTATATGTTATGTTGATCTATTTTTAATATATAGTTAAAAGAATACTTATTACAATGTATAATTATATCGCAGCTAAATTAAAGGTTACAAGTTGAGCGTTCATTCAACTTACAGGTACTGTCTGTTGCTAATTAGTTGTGGCTTAAAGATATTTTTGTTAATTACAATAGTTTTTACTTTTTTGTACGTAATTAATTTTAAAGAATCGTGTAAACAAGTAAAATAACATTATTTTTAACGTTACAATGAAATTCTAATTAATTAAAATTGCACATAATACAAGAAGAGTGAATTATGTGTTATGAGCCATAGTAAATGACTTTTGCGGATTTTATTATTTATACATTAATATTATTTAAAGGAAGTAGATTTTACTTACCTATCATCACCTATCTTTTACATTAATATTTTTTAAATTTATGGACAATTACAGTACAACTATGGCAATAATTTATTTCATATTTCTAAATTTGAAAAATTAGAAATATACGAGAAATAAAAACACATTTGCATATGTGCTTAAATAAGTGTCATTACTAGACACGAACGGTTTCAAGTAAGTTAATTGTAAGTATAACAAAGAAGAAAATCGATTATAACCCTAAACACGGAATGGACTGAATGTGGTAGTAAACGTTCTAGCTGCCGTAGCATGCAGTAACTATACCTAAAAATTCTTAATATTTTTAGGTGAAAACAATTATGAACTCTCTGGCGGCGGCAGCCGAAGCCGAAGCGCAAGCCCAGGCCGAAGAACAACAACGACAAGACGAGCAGCGGCGTCAGGCTGAACAAGTGTCGCAGGAGGCCGATGTCCCGCGCGCCCCTCGCACTTTACTTTTGCCACAAGATGTGGATGAGAGGCCACATTGTAAGTATTATTTACGATGTTATTGTCACTTTATTTGACAAATTTGTCCTCTTGAATTTTAATTATTATGACAGTGACATTATGATATTCTTATAAAGTTGATTAATATTTTATTAAGTTCATTTTACTTTAGTAGAAAATTAATATAACAGTTAAAAAATGTAACTAAGAATAGCACTATTTATTTTTATAAGAATATATATCAGAATGTCACCGTCATATCATCATAATAATAAAAATAAATATGGTTCAAGAAATATACGTATTACAAAAATAATATTATATTTTTATAAATAAAAATTCTACATATGTATACATGAACAGCTTCAAACTTAATTATGGTTTTATAAGAAAATTTTTATGAACGAAACTTAACACAATAGACGTTATATCTTATTTATAAGAATATAAGTCTATTATTGTATCTGCGTGGTTTAACTACATGCAATTCATTTCATTAAATTACTGCAAGGTACATTGAAATGGACTGATTATGCATAAAACGAATAGAGGTATCCACTAAAACTATAATATGTGATATGTATAATATATATATTTATTTTTATTTATTAATTTATTTTCTATTGCTCTAATTAAAATAATGTAGGTATAATATGAAAGAAACAATATTACCTATATTTTATGCATAAAATGTAATATAATAGTAAATAAAATAAATATAGTCTAGGTAAAGTACAGATTACTGGATGATAATGACAGGTTTAATTGCAGTTAAATTACAATGTGTTGTAATTTTTTTATTTATAAAATTCTCATGTTATGAGGAATATTGGTCCTCTTTGTTATTTTATTCTTATTATTTAAAAACATTACCCTCTTCTGAGCAATGATTTAAATGAGGTAAGCCTCAACATTGCATTTTAAAAGAAATTATAAGCGAAATCTCAAGGGAAATTTAGGATACGACGCACCTTTGACATTTAAAAATGAATCTATCAAGGAGATGGACGGTAAAAATTCAAGTGGAGCGAAATTATTCATCACTTACGTTATTTAATTAAGTATTTTTACTATGATTTTTTTCTGAAATTGATTGATGTTGGAAGAGTTATCTTAATTAGATTAAATTTAGCTATTTTATTCATATAATTTTCCGGCTAGGATATATTGTAGAAAATTAAAGACCTTGTTTTGTAAACCAATTCTGTATGTTATAATCTGTGAAACAGCAAAATACATCTGGCGAACATTCGTAAGTCAAGCGGAGATTTAAAGGTTTCATTAAAAATTTATGAAAATTATTTAGGTAGGATTTATAAAATCATGGAGCAGGATATAAGAAAATAAGGAAAATGTAAGAAAATATGGTACAGTACAACCATTAAAAAGAGTTTATATTTTTCCACGGATGTCATTAAATTAAAACATGAATTTAAAACATTATGTGTTTTAGGCAATATTATCTAAATTGTAGCAATAGTAGTATACTTTTAGTAGTCTTTAGCCTTATATATTGTGTATTAAAAGATAGTAAAATAAATTTCGTTATTATTATTTTTTACTTTGTTGCATTATATATACAAGTATATATTATGAGTATGTTGGTTTTGAACAAATTTTTATTGTGAAAATATAATGTGAAATAGTAATTTTAAACTATTAGTTAACGTTTGAAAAATATATTATTATTATTAAAAAAGTTTTGAAAAGCGTTTTGTAATGTAGGTATGTGACTAGAATGGCAGACAAGCTGATGTAAAGTGCACATCGCATTACTTCCAATGGTAGCGGGTTCAATTCCTCGCACGATATAAAAGTTTGTATTCATGAGTATAATTATAATTCAAATATCTATGTATTTATATCAGTTATCTGGTACCTATAACACAAGCTTTAGATTGTTTGGTCTAAATGGCTATGTATGAATTGTTCTGACATTATTAGATAGTAAGGCACTTTCACTACTGTATCTTATCCGTCAAACGGAACAATCTTACAAGGCATATGCTAAGCAACCTATTCGGCGATTGAAATTTATGAAAAAGAAGTGCCCACATAGACGACTTTGTTCAAAGTCTACTTTGGCAAATAATGTTCAAATTATTTTTTTATTTACAGTCATGCAGCCCCGCTCCGTTCGCAGCGTGGACGCACTCTTGCACCGTGAGAAGCGCATCAAGCGTTGCGCCTGTGACTGCGCTTAAACCATAAGCGTTGTAGCGCTTTAGCTATTTAGCTAACAGCGATACTTCCGTCCATAATACAAACAACATTTTTGTAATTAAAATACCTTTTTTGTTAATATCCATACATGTTATAACGACTTCTTGCTAACAGTTCTCTGTAAATAAAGTTGTTAATTACTCCGCTTAGAAATGTCGTTTTTATTACCTATCGGAAGCTAAGAATTATTTTGTATTTTTATTTGTTAATTAATATTTTGTTTAATTGTAGTTTGTAGTGGAGAATATCTATTGATTAATCTTTTGGTTAAATTGAGTCATAAAATACTTTTGAGTAATTATGACTTAACATTTTTGTAGTTTCCTATGAACATAAATTAATAAAAAGAACCTAAATTTAGGCGCATTGTAAACTGTAGGTTGGTAGTGAAAAGTAGACAGATGTAATATTCGTTTTATAGATTATTATTTTATTCTATATTATTCTAGAAAACATTTTGCATTTACTATTGCACACTTACGTTTTGTAAAGCAAATAAATAATGATTTGACCGGTGATAATTACTTACTGTAATCTAAAGCGAAAATACAAAGATATTTTTATTGTGATCCTAAATTAAATGTTTATTATTAGTTTTATAGCTTTGTTTTAATTTGATTATTGACCTACTTATACTATACATTTTTCATATATGGCGTTGAACGCTATGTGCTAGTTAATACATTTTTAACAATAACCAAGATGAATCAACTTCCCCAAGGAAACAAATATTAGCATTATCACGGATATAACACTAATACTGTATATTGTTATCAATATGTTTGTATATGGATACTCACAAGTAATAGATAATATGATTATTAATCGTGGACTCCATTATCGCAACGTGGTAGGTCCACGTTATAAGTGCGCTGCAATGTGTGAAATTTCAATACTATTGACATTGTAGCTGTGTATAAAATATATTAATATCTAATGCTGAACTTCTTGAGTAGAGTCAAGTTAAGTCAACAAATAAATATAAGCATTTGTCCAAGTTTACTGTAACAAAATAAGTCATATACGGTTTTCATGCCATCTACCAAATCTGCTTGTACGAATGTGCAAATATAAACTAGGTGGTTAGATATTATTAACTACACATCACTTTAATAAATAATTTTATTTACATTATGTACAGTGATTATAATTAGTAATTTACTTGGTTAAGTAAGTAATTAGTAATTTACTGGATTGTAGGAATATAAATATCACATACAGTAGAAGTTTTAGTTCATCATTAATAACCTACACTATGATTGGTCTGAGATTCTAAAGATTTTACATTACATTTAAAATTTAGTATAATTAATATAATATAAAGGCAAAGAATCAGGAAATTTAAAAGAAATCCTAATAAGTAACTTACAAGCAAAGTTGAAAAAGAATGGCTGCACCACAATTCAATAACATCTCTTGAAAATAAATAAAAGTTTATCACTAAACACAATAAAAAGGTTATAACCGTTAAACTTCTAGCGAATTGTCTAATTTTGTCTTTTAAAACTTTATGTAGTATCATTAAGTAAAGTACAGTGCCTATAAGCATAAGCGGCCATCTAAATATAGAACAAATTAGTAAGTACATGAGCCACTTATCTAACACATTAGTTACAACTACTGTAGTAAAAATAATAGCGATTGGTAATGGCAATAGCCAAGAACATATCAATACTTTGTATAAATTATTTTGACTTATTTTTATCAACACTACAATTAAACTATCATACATATGCTTAATAAAAAAGAAAACCAAAATAACTATAACAAAATCTATGTACGTTTGACAGCCCAACACTGCCGCATCCAGTTGTGTTCCGGTGGTTATTAAATTATTTTCTTTTAAATAAATAACTGTAAGCACTACTCTTTTCAAGAACCGAACAAGACTTAGCTGCATTAACATTTGGTTTCTGTAATTCCTCCTCCAACGCTGTATCTTCAGAGCTGCTGTAATCGATATTATTAATTCCAAAGCTGTCATAACAATTTCAATTATAATGAAAGCGCTGAACAATGATAAAGTATCTCCAGATTCACTGTGAAATGACTTCTTAACGTCAATCGCGTTACTAACACTTTCTGTGATCGAAACTTCTGCGCCTGAGGCTGTAACAGAAGTAATATCGCTTTTGTTGAGCCATGTTGATGGGGATGCAAAAGATTCTGTAGTTAAGTTTGTATCACTGCCGAGATCGAACGGTGTTGTCATAATTTCAGTTGGCATTTTAACAACATTTGTAAACAAAAGTTTATACGGCACTAAATACGTGTAACTCGATAGAAGCGGCAGACAGACTGGAACTAAGTTGGACGTTACAATGACACAGGAAACAGTGTGAATATTATTCATAAGCAAGCAAGCGTAGTATATCATAAGTAAGCGTCCGGACAATTTATGAGAATTGCGGTCGAAAGACGTCATTGCAGTTTATACAAAATACCCAACAAGTTGTTCATTGCAATGTGTGACGTGTTTATGTTGACTTGTTTATACACTAACTTTTCTGGGTAACATTTTTCTTATTTTCAAATTACCAGGACTAGGTGATTAGGATGCGAACTATTTTTTGTAAATACGAATCTTTGTCAAAATGTTTTTAACACTAGGAGGTGACCAAATTGTTTCAGAGGATTATTATTCTACAGGAAATACAACATTTTCATCACTGTGGATGGATTCGGTAATCTCCCATTAGCGTAATATAAATAACAGCATGAAATAAATTAGACGTAAATACGTTAATTGTAATAAGTAATAATTTCTAATTTTATATGAAAAAAGTGACTTTAATCAGCTTTTTATCACCTTTACTTCCTGTTGGTATCACATTAATTCAATATAGTCGTTTTCTTATTGAATTATGTGGTAATAAATTATATTAAAGTATGTAGTATGTACTATACATTAGGCATAGTAGGCATTAGCATTCGACGGCCTCGGTGGTCTAGTGGCTTAATACACCGTCTTACTTCCGATGATGGCGGTTGCGTTGCAGGTACGTGAGTATGATTGTTTGTATCAGTCTGGGTGTTTTTCTAATTAAATGAAGTATGTATTTCCAAAAAAAATGTGTCTATGTATTTATATCAGTTGTTTAATACCGATAACATAAGTCCCAAGTTAAACTGCTTAGCTTGGGACTAGACGGCGCTGTGTGAACTGTCCTGTTGTAATATTATAATATACTAGCTGTTCCCGCGACTTCGTCCGCGTGGAATATAATTTTATTTTACTAAAATAAAAGAATTTTTCTAAAATAAAAGTAGCCTAAGTTACTCCTTGCCTTATTTATATTGCCTTATTTATATTCATATGTATGTGGTAAAAAACGGTTATTTCAATATTGCAAACAGACGCTCCAATTTTATTTATAGGTATAGACTAGCTGTATACATATAATGCATGCATGTAGTCGCGTGTACGACTTCGTCAGCGGGGAATTTAACTTTATTATTATTGCATAATAAAAGATTTTTTCTGAAATAAAAGTACCCTAAGTTACTCCTTATTACATCAGCTACTAGACAAAAACAGTCCAGGCAAAATCGGTCCAGCCATTTCAAAGATTAGCCAGAACAAAATGACAGACAAAAATTGTAAAAAAAATATTTTGGTGTATGTACCGTATTTATTTTCATATGCATGTAATAAAAAACGGTTATTTTAATAATACAAACAGACACTCCAATTTCATTTATTTGTAATTAGAATAGTAATTGATAATCCTTTCTGATTAAAGACGATTGACAAACAACTTGAGTCATAACGAAACTAACATGAGCATGACGTTTTCTATTATTGACGACTTAGAACAAACTCGGAAATAACAAATTAGAAAATTTGTTACCGTACGATACTCGTTCGAACATTGTGAGACTTTATGAAAATCGGATTATAATCAATCTAATCAAATGGGTTTCAAACAAAGTAATACAACAAATGTTAGTTAGTAGTTAATAGCTGCATACACTTATTGTTAGTTTGGTCTTGATAGTGTAGATTGTATTTAAAAAAGTCCTACAACACAATGAAATTGTTGTGTATAAACATAAATTTGTGTCTTAGATTGAAATTGGTTTCGCTTCTGTTTCCCACGTCGAACAAATAATAAATCATTGCACACTCCAGTGGTTTCGATACTATGGTTATGTAGAGGTTTTTTGGCGGAGGTAAGCCTACCTGTTTCTAAGCTTTGTGTATTTAAGGTACATATTTCGAAAAATTGGTGTTAGGTACGTTCTTTTTTCAGAGTTGGATTGGGAGCACAAATTCTTGCATCAGGATTGATTCATCCCAATATTTTATTATTGATAATGTGTAAGCAAGTGTGCAAGTGTTTGAGTTGTCTAATAAAATAAATCTTAGCAATCAGTATATACTTCTCCACCAGCAATATAAAATAGATTACCTAACCTAACCTAACCTAACTTTTATAAATCACTAAAAAGTATAAATTTAATATACATATATCTGCTATTATGCGAAAGTATACTTGTCTGTTAACTGATCGCATTTAAAGCGCTGAACGGATACTAATGAAATTTGACATGCAGATAGAACGGATTAGGATGATGAATACAAATTATCTTGTATCTTAAAATATAAAATTGGAAGTGGGAAAATAGAAGATGAAGAGTTTGTTGTAGTCAAATTCGGGTAAAATCTAGTAGATTATATATTAATTTCTTTTGCACAAGAAAACATGCATTTAAAATACATAACTATATATGCTACATGCTAAACTTTTCAAATTAGTGAATCGACAGAACACAAAAATGACTAGATATCTCTTTTCATGTTGTTGTTCTTTTTGCAAAGGCTAAATGTTTATTATATGCAAATATACGACTGTAATATGGGTGACTGTACTGGGAAGGGGTGGGAAGACGTAATTGCTGGAGATATGGTGAAGTGCGAGGTTTCTGAAGACAATGTCTGGGACAGGGAAAAGTGGCGGAGAAAAACAAGGAAAGCTGACGCCACCATCATGTGGGAGACATAGCTGGTAAGAGAGAGATATACGACTGTAATATGCTATTGTAGTACTACATAATCATATATATTCAAATATTATTTAAATGCTACCAGCATTTGAATATTGTTGGAAATAATGTCCATAATTATTATTATTGTCATTATTTTACGATCTTACGCGTCAGTCAATCGGTGGCAGGGTGAGAAAGTTATAATTCTGAAACTTTTAGTCTTCCCTCCATGTTTTCACACTGTATCAATATAAATCTTCATATATTTTATTTTGCAAGTCTTCAACTTTATGTACCATGTAAATAAACGTTAAGAAAGTATAAAAACGTGTCTACTACTGAAGTACTTACTTATATTATGTAATGCTAGGAAAATAAATATAACACAATATGAAATAAGAGATAAATTAAATAGTTTTTTATGTGATGGCAAACAAGCTGACGGCCTATCTGATCGTAAGTGGTAACCTTCGCCTATGTAGCCACATGAACCCTACAGCCATCACATGAAGTTTGTGATATCACTTATGCGTTGTCCTTCCGAAGAAGTCGATCGATACGATGTCATGCCACGTATCCTGTAACTTAGTAAAGTTACATGACAAAAGCATATAAGAAAAGCAGTAGCTTTATCTCAACCTACAACCGTAATACTGCTTTATAAGTAAAAAAGCATATTTATGATAAATATTTAATTGCATATAAAGCACACTCTTTTATCTACTCTCTAATAAGTATATACCAATTTTTTTTTCTATAAAGGTTTCCTTCATAAGCACCTATGTGAACAAAAAAATAAAAATATATTGTGCCAAAATGAAAGCTTGCTTCCAGCATGGAGAAAAGTAATTTATATATTTTGTCGTATATCTAAATAAGTAATAGCGAATATAAGCTAATATTTTCTATGATAATATAATATTTTACAATTTAATAAAATCGAACATTCTAGTTGAAAAGTTGTACTGCATTACACTGCTACTGCAATTGCTATTGTACAACTTATATATTATTTCCTAATAAATTGTATTCCTATTAAACTAGTATTAAATTATACTATAATATAATAATTTACAACTTATAAGTTGTATCAAGTAATGTTTAGACACTTTAGCTATATTCTACAGAAAAAAACGTTACAATAAGTAAGCAATTACTCTAGGTTACTAGATTTTACAACAATTATTAGTGACATATCCTGCGGAAACTATACAATCATAATAAAACCACTCACATTTCTTTGATTTGTAATAGGCAAGTATAACTTGACTAGTTTGGCGAGTAATGATGACATTCAATAATACTTACCTTATTCGTTGCCTTTATCGTAGAATTGTGTAGCATGGCGTCGCTGCATGACACGCCTTGTTTACGTGCTTTCTCTATTAAGGTTTATTGCGTACAATAATCTTCGTGCTTTTATGTCTGACGTCAAATGTATTACGTTATGGGAACATAAAACTCCCTGAACAAGTCATTACTCTGTTACTTACACATACTTCATTTGACGACTTGAGCATTTAATTGGAATGAGCAAAAAGGTAATTTTCTTTTAACAGGTGGCATTCAAGATTTTATGTCGTAGTAATGCTCCGCGATATAATAAGGTTTATAAATTTAATATAGGTACGTATGTATTTCTTATGTAATATACATACGTACATACAATATAATACACTATAATAATAACTTATTTTTTAATTTGAGCATCGTCTGAGAGTTTTGTGGTGGTGGAGGTAGTGTTTTACTATCCCGACTTACACCAGAACAATAGTAAAACTGGCAGAAAGAAAATTTTGTATATCTGACACACTTCGGTGAGGGTAACGCCTATATCAAACCAAAAAATTATTTCAGAGACGATGATGAGGCTCGCTCAATACCACATTGGATTCTAAATATATCCATTTACTTCTGATATCCATTCATATCAATAGACTGCGGTTATCATTTTCTGTCATGTGCACAGTACAGTACATATTTGCTATTCTAGTATATAAAAACCTCTTTAGTTCTTTACTAGAACATATATCTATGTGTAATCTCTGGGGATAGGGATCAGCGGAAAAAGATGATATACTGCGACGACCCCAAATATACAAATATATACCTGAGTATCACCTATTTCATCTCCAAAGTAAGTTGAGTTTTGTTTAAAGCTTGAGACGAAGCAGTGAAATTACAGGATAAAAGGTATATGACATCTTAGTCCTCTGGAATGGCAACACATGAGTGGTCTTACGGGTTTTATACGATATTGTGATGTCCCTAGAACTGTCCATATTCCATATGTTTATCTCTTACCATCGGACCGTCGTTTTGTTTGTTTCTCCTATATTTACCGTTTTATAATTTGC